GCTGAGACAACAAAAATTGCGAAATTTTCGAAACTTGCTAAGATTCAAAAAAGTTCTCTCCAAGAGCACAATGCTTAGGTCTCAAAATACCTTTTCTTCCAAAAATAGCAAACAAGACTACGCTCATTAAGCTCTGCTCATTAGACAGTGGTCGTGCGCTCTGTTCGAAAGAATTCTGCTGCGAACCTCCATCGAAAAGCACTTTTGTGCTGTGGGCAACATTTGGCACACCCCATTAGAAACCAAGATGGAGGTGGTCAGTGGTGCAGGGATGCTCAAAAACCGAGAGGGTGACCGAACCGCGCGCGAGCTGTATGGTAAGACCCTCTTAAGTCGCTGAGGCATACCCTTCGCCTCTGAACGCGCCTCCGATTCTCCGACGTTGATCTTATTGTGTATCCTCCTTCACAATTAAAAAAAGACGTCAACAATTGACGTGCGAGGGTCAAAAGTCTTCCAAGCTTGATCGTCGCAGATTATGTTCTCAGTTGATGTAGCACAGCCATATGACTGAGTTCGCGTGGTCGCGCTACTCTGTCTCCAGAACGGCTTCTACCGCCACTGTCACACGTCCATCTAGACATATTGTGCGAATATCACGACGCGAATTTGCAGAGTATGAGGCTAGAACCCTAGGATGAACCCATGATTCCATCTAGCATTAGGGGTCCGCCCAGAAATCCATGAAAGTGTCGCGAACAATTGTAGGAGGCAGAGTTTTATTAGGACGGTTATTTGGTTTCTTTAGCTTGTTTCTCTAACGGCGATCGAATTCGAAATTCCAGCATTATGGTAGACAACAATAAGCAGCAACAACAAACAAAATCACAATCAAGCTGAGGTTATAAGGGGCTGTGGAAAACGTATAGTGAACAAAATTCGTGATGTATTAGTAGCATCCATAGACCTGATAGTGGTATGTAGTCGACTGAAAATATTGAGATTGCACTTTTGGAAACAAAAGTAGTGCTCTTCTCCCCTCTCCTTTTTTGTTCCTACTATCGCATAGAAGGCGGAAGTGGTGTAGTGGCAAGTGGCACGCTTACCACGCGAGCGGTCCGGGGATCAAATGGGTCGTGAGTCGCCCGGGCCAACCAAGCCTTCCATCCCTCCGGGGTCGGTTAATTGGTACCAGACTTGTCTGGGAGGATAAAAACACTGACTTGTACATCGGCTGGCCCCCGCAAGTCATTGTATAGGCCACATCGCATTCAAACGCCACTACGAATGTACAAATGGAAGTAGAATGCGTGCCGCATCCCAAAAAGGGATTGATCAACGGCAAATGCTTTATCCTTTATCCTTTTATCACAAGAGAAAATTCAATCATTGCATGTCCCACCAATTCCAGCCACAAAAAGCACCATAACGCGATAACTTCATATTGAGCGCTGCAGAGGGGCCTGACCAGAAAGTTCTTCCAGGTCGTGCACAGCCTTTTTAATATGGTTTCTGCATGACGAAAAGTCATGTACATGAAAAACGGAACTATAGTTTAGTTTTCCTGAGTGGCTCTCCGAATGCCAGAAATGGGGTCAAAATGCTCCATTGTCAAATCATTATGGCACCAGATATTTGCAAGAACCTAATCATACAGAATACCGATGAACCTGATGGTAATACACGATGGTGTTCATCACTAGCCCGGGGGAGGGTAGCATCTTGCAACATCATGCAAGCGTCAGTTCGCCACGGGTAATCGAGCCATGAGCCAACATTCCCGCCCTAATTCGCTATTCAGAGGTCCACCTCAGGAAAAATGAAGCATAGTTCCATGATGCACGTGTCTCTAAATAATGCAAAAAAAATGTTCCGAAAATGTGTGGCACGGCCTGAAAGACCTTCTGTGTGAGTGCTTGAATGACCTAGTCGAGAGAGAGTTGCTTTTCGGACCGTGAGATTCGGTGGGATTTAAGGCACATTCCCGAAGTATAAATGGTGCGAAGTTCCTTAAAAGAAGCATGGGTCGCATGCGCACGGGCAGACGTGGCAGAAGATGCCCCAGAATTGGTGTGGTCAGAGACCAAACGTCATGGGTTCACCTTCCTGGCTGGTCCGCCCTCCAGTGAGGGCAAGCAAGGGTGGGAATGGAAATTCCACGTGGAAATTTTTCGAAAAAGACGTAAAGTGGTTTACGGTCGAAGGTCGATTAGCTGGGTGGTGCGTTAACTGGAACGGACAACTCGTCCAAACACATCCTTCCACCATCCGAGTGCAGGATGCTCCTGAGACAGAGGCACCTAATCCATAGTGTATTTGAATGTTTCTTTTGCTCTTCTTCATTCTCAGCCCACTTCACTTCACACCTTGGGCTTAATTATCAAGCGCACCCAAATTGGTCATGAGATGGGCCTAACTAGCATATTTTTCCACGAAAACTGATTTAGAGATGGCAGAAGGGAAGCGGTCGGGACAATCGTCAGCTCGTCGTGGTCCCACGATTTGTAGCATCATTCTGAGGAATTTTCATAGAATTCAGGTAGAACACCGGCCTAGGACTGGAAAAGCATGACGTTGCAAGTCACGTCCACCAAGCAGCGCCTGACGAGCCTGACACAGTCCA